TGTGAATGAGTTTCCAGATGAGAAGGAAGACAAAGGCATCAAATTAGAGCAATTAAAGGCATCCACTTGCTCAAACATAGTAATGTGTTGGGAATTAGAAACTTTAAGTATATACCATCGAGAATAATAAAATCGCCTACAAGAAAACATAAAATTTATAGATGTTCACTTCAATGAAAAACTACATCTGCATCTGCAATAATTAACTATGGTGAGAAGAAATTTACAAGTATTTTATCTATGCTCTCTCTTTTTATGATAATACAAAACTCTAATGACGGCTTCTTATATATAAGAAAATTATGGCAAAATCGAAACTACAAGTACAAAATTTCTAAACAATTCTTAATAAAAATTTGGTCCGGGAGCAAATCCTGGAAGACAACCACTTTACCACGAAGGTCAATCAATATACGAACTCTAGACAAAGACAATAATTATGCTTCATAACTTAAAAATCTTCTAGTTGGAGAATATTTCATCATCAATGCCTCTTCTATAGCGTCAACTCATCAATCCTCAAGAGAAAAGTCCAACTGAAGTTGTATGTAACTTCAATTTTTCGATTGGAACAATCTGCCAACGTGTCAAGCTGATTCTAAAACCTTTAAATCTTCTCAAGTGTCAAGATTTCATTCTCCAAAATCGATCTCATGAAGTGATTTATAACATGTATATGTTTCATCCTTGCATGATTAACAGAATTTTTTGCTAAGTGAATAGCACTCTAGTTGTCACAATACATCACAATGTTCCCATTTTTGTAACCCAATTCCTCCTAGAAAGATTGCAACCATGTCATCTATTTTGAAGCTTCGACTATAAAGACATACTCTGGCTTAGTAGTAGAAAGATAAATTATCTTCTAAAAGTTAAGACTCTCAACTGATTGTTGTACCACTCAAAGTGTATACATATTTATTCTTACTCTTCATGCCATCAATATCCTCGACCATGTTAGCGTCTACATAGTCATGTAATCCTAAGTTTGATTTTCTGAAACATATGGCTAAATCTAATGTAACTTTCAAGTACTTGATAATCCACTTTACTACATCCCAATGTTGTTTACCTAGATTACTCGTATATTTTCTTTCAACTCCTAC